ACGTCACGGTCCTTGATTTTAATCTATTCATAAAGGGCTTTTGAACCACTCTTAGTCTGACCGGTCACCTGTTTGCCTTGGGAGACCCTACCAGGGACATATAGCCCCCGACAACATAGGTCCTAGGATCACTCGGGTACTCAAACCCCTCCATCACAATAAGGTGGAGGTTCAAGGAGGATATTCAAAACTACAATATGGATATGTGGAATGTTCTTTTTTTCATTTTGGATATCTGAAATAGAAATGATGACTAGTAACAGTTCAGTTATTGATATCTGATTGGGATGGTTTTTCTGTAAGAAGCAGATACCAAAAATGGAAGAATGAACTCAAAATTAGTGTTTTGATAATGTTCTTTTTTGACTAGGAAGATACTATATCTGCAATACATTTCCAATCAACTGATTAAATGTTAAAATGGGTCAATATATTGCTGTCAATTTAATATGAAAATTAAATTGATGTGCAATAATAAATTATGACAGAGTTTTTATGACCCTGTCAAAATGATGAACAATGAAAAAGTCAAGCCTGACCTCTGCACTGGTGGATTCTGTTAATGTTACGCTGCACATAAAGTTAACTGTCTAACAGTTTATGGCATTTTGACTCATGCTCAGAGTTCATCTGAGCCACTACAGTTGTTCATCGACAAGAAGTCTGAGTCATGTAAGAAAGAATTGCTTTTAGTTAGAACATGTCAATATGTAGCCAGCAGACGATTATTCAAACAGAATTTAAGCCATGTTTTACAGCTAGTTCAACTGTTACAGAATTTTCTAGCACCTATAATCTTAATCTTATGATAACTTGCCATTTTAGCTGTACTGTACTGGGGTTTTGAGTCATTCAGAACTGGTACCAGATCATATGCAATAAAATCAGGATGTTAAGGTTATGATATAGGGTAAACTCTGTCTTTTAAAAAAAACATTGATTCAGGTTTCCTCAAATTTAAGCCTTCAAAGATAGAAATGAAAATTACTTTTCATTTACAAAGGTCTTAAATATTTTTTCTACCCTGCCATGGAAAATAATGTCACTTGCTTTTGCAAAATCTTGCTGCAATGAGTTTTTATGTGAACTGTTCATCCATGTTTCCATTTTCTGTTGCTTATACAAGTTCATGTCATGTTTAGTTATTAATAAATTAATTATATTATTAGGAATTATTGTTATTACATCTGGGTAGGAGTGACAAAAATATACATGTAAATAAATATATGCACTTAGTAAATAATTATGGTCATTATCATCTCCACTGGCTTTAATATCCATCATTTTTTGGTCAATGCGACTGTGAGACAGGTATTAAATTGCATTCTGTGCCATTTAAAAGGTTTTCAAAAGTCTTACATTTCTCTTGAACACTGCAGAAATCTTGTAGTGTGGTTACAGTTCAGACTAGCACAGGAAACTTCGTATAACACTGTAAAAGAAGTTGTCTGTACAGTTTTCTTGCTTTAAAAAAAGCCACTATGCTAGCTCACTTTTGGCGAGAGGTGTTTGTCACCATTAAAACAGTAACTGCTCATTCAAACAAATCCCTCATTTTACAGGCACATTAATACAAGGCTACTGAACATTTTGCTTATGTATAACTAATGCCATTGGTCATGATGTTATGTGTTTTTACAAGAGGCCTTTTTCATGGCAGACATTTGGACTTGTTACAATAGAAAAGCACAGGGGTTGCTAACAATTTCCCTTCCTATGCCTGGATATGGCCATGACAGTGTGACATTGACCCAGCGTGAACAAAAACAGGACACTGAAGCAGTTACAGTAGAATTTAGCCAGTGATTTAATTAACCCATATGAACAGTAGAGGGAGCCATTTGTCTACGTAACACTGAAGCAGTTCTCTAGTAGTTTCTACAGTATCATTCAAATCTTTCTACAAAATACTCTATTATTGTCTTGTAAGAAATGATACTCTGTCACAGGTTAAACTAGTCAACAGTATAAACTACAGTAGTAGAAATGATTCAACCTTGATCAGCTACCACAACAGCATACTGTTTACCCTGTAATGTATCAATAATAGCAGTCCAGCAATTTGAAGAAGCATTTACCTTTATTTGTTTCTTCAGTTTCAGATACAATTTTTGTATTGTACATGTCCTTTGAGGTAATCTGACATAGTGGTGTTTGACTAGGAAGAATGTAATCATAGCTGTAATGCATAACCAGTCAAGCATTGAAGAGTTAACATGCCTTGATAAATTGCGTATACAAGTGGGGTGGACCTACAGGGGAGAAAAATACAAAGGAGAAGCAAAGCGGAACAGGTCACATGTTGAAGTGCACTTCTTGTCATCTTGGAGTCTGAGTAACGTAAGAAAGTGTCACTTTTCATTTAAACCTAGTATCACAGTGTAGCCAGCAGACAGGTTTGCAAACAATACTTGGCGCTAAGATCTGGTGGAGTTAAATTGGCACATTACAGAGATTCCTGGCACACACAATTAAGTGCTGAACTGTAATTATGTTAAAGCTAGTCCCAGCTTGTGACCCTCATGTATTACAAATATTCGAGTCACAGAGATAACTCTCCAGTTAACTTAAACAATTCACATTTGTCATCCATTTCTAACCTCAGAAACCGGTTTGACAACACTCATCCATATATAGTGTCTCCTTAATCCTCCTTAATCCTCACTCTTCCAACCCACTTGTTAAGTGTGACGTCACAATCCACTTCTGTGTCTAAACTGCCTCAAAGCCAAATGGCGGAGAGCATCGCCCTCTACACAGACTGCTTAAGTTGTGACTTAACATTCTGTTTCTGGGTCCAAACTTAGGTTCATTCTCCTTCTCTCCATATAAGTGTTGTTTCCACCATTGTTTTAGTAGATCTGAATCAAAAACCATGGGTCAGGTGTCATATATATGTGTGTGTGTGTTAAACAGCCACAGGTTCAACTTCTCAAGTTCGAGGATTTTATGCTTTTCTTTGTCATGTATGATAGTAACTCACTATCTTTGGGTTTCAGACTGATGACACATAAAACAAGGAATAGGAAGATGCCACCACAAGCTCTTGGGAATTATAATGGTCTTTTTTCACCCTTTTCTGATCTTTTATAGAGAAAAAGATTTAAAATAATCAGCAGATAAAATGGGGATTTAGTTTAAGTGGAACATAGTTTACATTTGATTCTTTTTTTTTTTTTATCTCCCATTTAGTTCCTCCTGGCCATGCAACTGGTGATCCGGCCATACAGTCCCTCCGACAAGGACGCCGTGCTCACTCTGTACAGCGTTGGCATGTGTGAGCACATCCATCCATGTTTTCATAATGCCATGACCAGCCCTCTCTACCTCGCCATCACCCTGACTCTGTGTGTTGCTGGCTATCTCCTCAGCTCTGTGTTAGGGGCTGTGATGCTACTGGGAGTCTGGGTGGGCCTTGTCTACTACTGCTGTCATGAGGTATATGCTGCCGGCGTCAGGGAGAGACTCCGGACAGACATGCAGGACATACCTGGGAACTATCTGAGCAGACCGGATGACTGTTTCTGGGTGGCTGAGGCTGAGGTTGATGGGAGGGCACAGATCATGGGTATAGTGGCTGTGGTGGCCCAACAAAGTGAGACAGAAAGATATGGTACACTGACCAGGGTGGTCATCTCACCACTGTGTAGACGGATGGGCGTGGGCTGCAGGATGGTTCAGACTGTGATTGACTTCAGTAAGGAGCGAGGCTTCTCCAAGGTGATGCTTGAGACCACCTCCCCTCAGATAGCCGCTGTGGCCCTGTACAAGAAACTGGGGTTCAGGCATGTCCTTTCATACAGTCCCTTTGGGGTTTTTAAGTTGGCCAGGGTCATTATTTTTAGAATGGAAAAACACCTGTAAGCCTGAAAGAACCCTGATCAGCTACTGTTCCTGTTTCACTGGGGTTTAAGATATTTGCATTGCACTTGTCTGAAGCCATGATTTGTATGCAGGTCTTTTCCTGCATAGATAACTATTAAGGTGCTGTCTCCGTCAAATTTTCTACCACATCCACCTCTTGACAAAACTCTGGTGGGTGTCTTCTTGGAAAGTCCTGTTTTCTAACCAGTTTTGCACTTGGTGGATTTCATTTTTAACTGTAATGGCGGCATTACACCGATATGATGGCACTGTTCAGGTACTGTTCAGGTTCAGGTTCCCATTATTGATAAGGTTCAGGTTTAGGTTCCTTTTACTGATACCCAAAAGTAGAGACATTTTGCAGACTCATGCTCAGAGTTCATCTGAGCCACTACAGTTGTTCATCGACAAGAAGTCTGAGTCATGTAAGAAAGAATTGCTTTTAGTTAGAACATGTCAATATGTAGCCAGCAGACGATTATTCAAACAGAATTTAAGCCATGTTTTACAGCTAGTTCAACTGTTACAGAATTTTCTAGCACCTATAATCTTAATCTTATGATAACTTGCCATTTTAGCTGTACTGTACTGGGGTTTTGAGTCATTCAGAACTGGTACCAGATCATATGCAATAAAATCAGGATGTTAAGGTTATGATATAGGGTAAACTCTGTCTTTAAAAAAAAACATTGATTCAGGTTTCCTCAAATTTAAGCCTTCAAAGATAGAAATGAAAATTACTTTTCATTTACAAAGGTCTTAACCTCTAGAGTCCCTGCGTCCTCATATGAGGACCGCACAGCTTGGGTTTCCAAAGCTCAGGACTCTAGAGGTTAAATATTTTTTCTACCCTGCCATGGAAAATAATGTCACTTGCTTTTGCAAAATCTTGCTGCAATGAGTTTTTATGTGAACTGTTCATCCATGTTTCCATTTTCTGTTGCTTATACAAGTTCATGTCATGTTTAGTTATTAATAAATTAATTATATTATTAGGAATTATTGTTATTACATCTGGGTAGGAGTGACAAAAATATACATGTAAATAAATATATGCACTTAGTAAATAATTATGGTCATTATCATCTCCACTGGCTTTAATATCCATCATTTTTTGGTCAATGCGACTGTGAGACAGGTATTAAATTGCATTCTGTGCCATTTAAAAGGTTTTCAAAAGTCTTACATTTCTCTTGAACACTGCAGAAATCTTGTAGTGTGGTTACAGTTCAGACTAGCACAGGAAACTTCGTATAACACTGTAAAAGAAGTTGTCTGTACAGTTTTCTTGCTTTAAAAAAAGCCACTATGCTAGCTCACTTTTGGCGAGAGGTGTTTGTCACCATTAAAACAGTAACTGCTCATTCAAACAAATCCCTCATTTTACAGGCACATTAATACAAGGCTACTGAACATTTTGCTTATGTATAACTAATGCCATTGGTCATGATGTTATGTGTTTTTACAAGAGGCCTTTTTCATGGCAGACATTTGGACTTGTTACAATAGAAAAGCACAGGGGTTGCTAACAATTTCTCTTCCTATGCCTGGATATGGCCATGACAGTGTGACATTGACCCAGCGTGAACAAAAACAGGACACTGAAGCAGTTACAGTAGAATTTAGCCAGTGATTTAATTAACCCATATGAACAGTAGAGGGAGCCATTTGTCTACGTAACACTGAAGCAGTTCTCTAGTAGTTTCTACAGTATCATTCAAATCTTTCTACAAAATACTCTATTATTGTCTTGTAAGAAATGATACTCTGTCACAGGTTAAACTAGTCAACAGTATAAACTACAGTAGTAGAAATGATTCAACCTTGATCAGCTACCACAACAGCATACTGTTTACCCTGTAATGTATCAATAATAGCAGTCCAGCAATTTGAAGAAGCATTTACCTTTATTTGATTCTTCAGTTTCAGATACAATTTTTGTATTGTACATGTCCTTTGAGGTAATCTGACATAGTGGTGTTTGACTAGGAAGAATGTAATCATAGCTGTAATGCATAACCAGTCAAGCATTGAAGAGTTAACATGCCTTGATAAATTGCGTATACAAGTGGGGTGGACCTACAGGGGAGAAAAATACAAAGGAGAAGCAAAGCGGAACAGGTCACATGTTGAAGTGCACTTCTTGTCATCTTGGAGTCTGAGTAACGTAAGAAATTGTCACTTTTCATTTAAACCTAGTATCACAGTGTAGCCAGCAGACAGGTTTGCAAACAATACTTGGCGCTAAGATCTGGTGGAGTTAAATTGGCACATTACAGAGATTCCTGGCACACACAATTAAGTGCTGAACTGTAATTATGTTAAAGCTAGTCCCAGCTTGTGACCCTCATGTATTACAGATATTCGAGTCACAGTTAACTTAAATAATTCATATTTATCATCCATTTCTAACCTCAGAAACTGGTTTGACAACACTCACCCATATATAGTGTCTCCTTAATCCTCACTCTTCCAACCCACTTGTTAAGTGTGACGTCACAATCCGCTTCCGTGTCTAAACTGCCTCAAAGCCAAATGGCGGAGAGCGTCGCCCTCTACACAGTCCGCTTAAGTGGTGACTTAACATTCTGTTTCTGGGTCCAAACTTAGGTTCATTCTCCTTCTCTCCATATAAGTGTTGTTTTCCCCGTGTGTGTTTGTGTGTGTGTGTGTTAAACAGCCACAGGTTCAACTTCTCAAGTGTGTGGATTGACTGATTTTCTGTCATATATGATAGTAAACTGACTATCTTTGGGTGTTTGCAAATAAAATAAGGAATTTTAAGCTGCCATCTCAAAGTCTTTGAGATTATAATGGACATTTGCCAGTGTTCTTCACCCTTTTTCTGATGTTTTATAGACAAAATGATCCTACTGAGAAAATAATCAGCAGACAAATTTAAGTGGAATGTACATGTCATTTGATTATTATGGTTTATGGTCCCATTTAGTTCCTTCTGGTCATGCAGCTGGTGATCCGCCGCTACCATCACTCTGACAAGGACGCAGTGCTCACTTTGTTTGGCAGCTGTGCTTGGGAGTTTGTCCATCCATGTTTTCACAATGCCATGACCAGCCCTCTCTACGTCACCATCACCTTGGCTCTGTGTGTTGCTGGCTATCTCCTGGGCTCTGTGTTAGGGGCTGTGACATTACAGGGAATCTGGGTGGGCCTTGTCTACTACTGCTGTTATGAGGCATTCATCAGTTTCACCAGAGAGAGACTCCGGACAGACATGCAGGACATACCTGGGAACTATCTGAGCAGACCGGATGACTGTTTCTGGGTGGCTGAGGCTGAGGTTGATGGGAGGGCACAGATCATGGGTATAGTGGCTGTGGTGGCCCAACAAAGTGAGACAGAAAGATATGGTACACTGCTCAGGATGGTTGTCTCACCACTGTGTAGACGGATGGGCGTGGGCTTCAGACTGGCTCAGACAGTGATTGACTTCAGTAAGGAACGAGGCTTCTCCAAGGTGATGCTTGAGACCACCTCCCCTCAGATAGCCGCTGTGGCCCTGTACAAGAAACTGGGGTTCAGGCATGTCCTTTCATACAGTCCCTTTGGGGTTTTTAAGTTGGCCAGGGTCATTATTTTTAGAATGGAAAAACACCTGTAAGCCTGAAAAAACCCTGATCAGCTACTGTTCCTGTTTCACTGGGATCTAAGCTTTTGCATCGATAATACTTGACTGAAGCTGTTGTTTGTACTTGAATAGTATCACAAACACATTAATTTCAGTTCAACCAAAAAATAAAAAATAAAATTTGATCTTACATAGATTAAAGACAAAGAGCCTTTCACTTGTACAGTATGGAAGACCTCAGGTATAAACATACTGCTAAACCAAGAATCAGTAAATGTTTTCACTAAAAAAATAACATAAAAGCTTAAGTATTTTGTTTTCAAATCTGCAGATAAACAGCCTGTCTTTTCACACGATGCAGAATTTATTGTAAAGACAATGGTCTCATAAAATCAGTTTGTCCTCAGACAGCGCAGTTCTTTGGGAAACTCAGACAAATGTACAACTTTGACACCAAGTACTGTTTAAAACTGGAATCAATATTATGCTAAAAGCACATCCAACCACTCACGCAATATGGAGATAAAATACTATCAAAAATGTTACAAATGCGTGTTTAACGTTTTGTCTGTAACAAGCGATTTGTGTGTGTGTGTGTGTGTGTGTGTCATGCTGTTCACAAATGCATGCTGTACAAACTGCACATTATATCACATTTTACAAATGCTTAAAATCGATTTTTTTGTGTGCAGTTCTTTAGAAAGTACGTACACATTGTTACCTACGCATGCGTGGATCGTCTAACACACACGAATCACCTTCCGCGCACACACGGATTTTTGAGAGAGTTTTTCCGCACTCTCAAAAGTCACAATGCTATTCCAAATGGACATTACATAAAATAAACAAAAATATCTAATACATAACACGTTTTAACAGAGAACATTCCAGTTGCCTGCAGTTTGTGGTGCATGTTCTAAATTGTTAAAAATTTAGAATTTAGAATTTAAGCATTTGTAAAATGTGTTTTATGTGCAGTTTGTACAGCATGCATTTGTGAACAGCATGAGACACACACACACAAATCGCTTGTTACAGACAAAACGTTAAACACGCATTTGTAACATTTTTGATAGTATTTTATCTCCACACACGCACCTAAACACGCATTTGTAACATTTTTGATACACGCACTTTATCAGTAAAGATACAAACAGGGTTGTTGATTGTAAATGTTAAACAGTAGAGGGTGCCATTTATCTAAGTGACATGGAGGCAGTTCTCTGTGATACAAATCATTATTGCAGTTGTATTCAGTGTTTACAGTACATGATCACGATCAGTCATAATATCTTCAGTTCAGTGCTTTTATTGCCATTGCAGTTTTACATGGTGACATTTGATACTCAGAGTAAAAGATCGCAGCTTCTCTCACTGACCAGCGATAGATGATGCAGTAGCAATAATGAAAACTGTGTAAACAGATTGGAACTGTGCTGGTAGTGAATATGACATGACATTTGGTTCACAGCTCAAAGGAACATGATGCTGAGGTTGCAGTGCTGCAGAATCTAATAGCACAACAGTTTTTCTAGGTATTTTAGTCTTATAGAATATGAACAAAATAATAAATGCCATTTATCATAGTGTGACAAACCCTGATGGAAATGGAACTCTTGGGGCTGGGCTCTTCTTTGAGATTGTCATAGGTGGTATCATTTACTGTGGTCAACTGTAGTGGCTGTATAGTTGCTGTGTATTTAGAAGCACAATGTGTATCTTCGTGTGATTTTGTTTGCAGGAGGCAGTCCTTGTGGAAATTGGTACAGGTGTCAGGTTTATGGGAGACAGTGCCGTATGTTTACATGCATCATAGTACCCAGGAGTTTTGCTTTCTTCATATTAGAAATATGAGAGGTACTTAGATCATGAAGACGATTGTTAAATTGATTTCTGGTTTATCACTCAGCCTGAAATGACTTCTCCATATTCTCTCATGTAATGGAAGGCGTGTGGGGAAATAATAAACATATCCTCCACATTGTTGCTGCTGTTCATCGTGTGTTTTATTTACTGACTTGTATTACATAATTTGAGTTGAAGACACACCTTCAGATATTGCAGAAATTGATGAAAAATGTACATGCCACAATATCCAGCAGTGGAAAAAGTATTCAGATTCTTTACTTCTTTCTCTTCCTATGCCTAACTTCTTTCTACTTTCTTTACTTCCGCAGCATTGTTGCACACCCAGCATTTTAAAAAATCCGCAACTTCAATGTTGTTTTGCTTGCAGTTTGTGGTCGGTAGTAGGATGGAGCATCCAAAGAGATTTTATGACCGATGGATCGAGACGAAGTGACATAATAACAATAAAGACATAATGACAATAAAAATTCTTGACTTTAAAGGCAATTATTGTAGTCAGTTTTCTAATTTAGTTGCATAATTCTGCAAGAACACTTCATAAATGTCTTTACAAATTTATGTATATTCATTTTTTATGTGTTTTCTTATAAACAATACACGAATTAATGTTAGTAGACTGTTTTATTCACTTTCTTCACAGTCAGAAATCTTAGCTTCTAGGTATCCATTTCTCTTAATGTATCTTCGGTCCATCTCTCTGATCTTCCAACCCCCCCCACCCCCACCCCCCATTGTTGTGCCCACAAATCCAACATGACACTTGTTTTGAGTTCATCTCCGCACAAGTGAATGACACTTGGCATCTCTCCAAGACAAAGAGTGTGACTAAGAAACCAAAGGTAAAGTTACTCCTGCCTGTGTTATAACACTTGGCAGCGCTTTGTGTGCTCTGTCTCTCCCTCAAAGGCCTTGAGTTCAACACTTGTGAAAAAGCCAAACAAGATGGCAATATTGGATCTGTGTCAGCTGTTGAACAGGCCGAGAGGACAAACACATCGCTGTTTGTACTGTTTGTAAGGCCTTGAGAGTTAACGCACAGCATGTGTACATTTTTTTCACACTGTACAGTACACAAGTAGAACAAAGATACAATTTGTCATTTTTGACTAAGAACAAACTATGTATATTCCTCATTTAAAAACAAAGTTTACAGTATGAAAAAGACTTACAAGGTATGGTTCTTTGTCGTCTCCCAACGGGAGGGTTAGAGGTTTGAATCACAGTGCCTGCAGTTCACGTGTCGAAGTGTCCTTGGGCAAGACACTGAACTCCCAAGTTGCCTCCGAGGGTTAGAGCCATCAATGTGAGTTGGCGCCACAGACGGCTGCTTCGGTTCTGTACTGGAAACAAATTCCTTGTGTGTGCAACATACTTGGCCAAATAAAGGTGATTATTATTATTATTACCTTTATGAGGAAGACACCAACCAAAGAAGTAAGTCGAAGTAACAAGAATGATAGGAGCCTGTAGTCAGCAGCATAAACATAAAACATAAATGATAAAAGAATGCTAATAATAGTATTAATACATTTTAAAAAACAAATATGGTTTAATTATGAACAACTAGGAGGGTATGTCTACTACAGTACAAGGGCTGGAGTTTAATTTTGTTATAGATGTTTCAATCAACAACACTAAAAACAGCCACATATCTTTTAGTATGAAAAACAATTACAATTTGTTACACTTTATAAACCTAAACTATCATCATCATCTCAGTATGTAATTAATTACAAAATGAAGAAGTTCTGTTGTAGGAAAACAGAGTAAAAGCCCATAATATGCTATATTAAACAAACTTTGTTTTAATGTCATGTAACTTGATAGGTTTGAGTTTAAATTGTTTAATTTCAAATTTTTAAATCATGAATTTAGTTGACTAAATGTCCAGTAGAATGTGGAAGTAACTCATCCAATTATTTAGAAACATCATTTTGCATTTTCTTCCCATCATACCTTGCATGAATGAAAACACAGCAGGCTATAATAAATGTAGGCTTCACTACCGACCTCATTCAATTTACAGCCTTATTGAAAAATGAAATAGTTAAAGAGAAAATAAATAAAACCAAGCCAAACTCGTTTGCAAGCCAAGAGCCTGATGAATGTATAAAGTAATTTAACTGAAGTAAAACATCTTTGGTGTGATAATGTACACGTTACTCAGATTTGAAATTAAATTAATCTGAAATAAAAACAAAGTTAGATAAACTCAGAGCCTAAATATAAAAATGTATTCAGCTAAAGTCAATATAAATAAATAAAGTCAGCTTTTTCTTCAAAACTGTGAATTGCATGAATTGCAGAACTGAGCTAGTGTGTCAAAAAAAAAAACTTCTAAATTTTGATTTAAGAGTAAAAAGATCAGCAAAAACAGAACCCAGGTTTGTTTAAGCAACAACACAACATGTTCTCATCCCAGGTCATCAAATACTGATGCTTCGTTAAGTACCTCTGGCGTCAGTATGAGACACCAAAGGTATTGTTCTCTACTGAGAAGCCTGTGTCCTATATAGACACCAGAGGTAGAAGATAAACTAATTCTGGCTCTATTTAGACAAAATTAAGAAAAGTTGCTTACATTTTATTGAGGCTCTGATCAAAAGGAGCTTCATCGGTATTCATTGGCCAGCGTAATGTTAACTTTTGCACAATCTTACACAGTAGACAAACACAACAACTGGAACAGTGGGTATCCTTTTACAATCCTTTTAAAATCCACAGGTGCATAAAGAGGGAGGACAAACACCCAGGTAAACACACACAGTAAAACACACTGACACACGCACGACACGCAGCTGCCAAAATGTGTAATAGTTATTTGATCAGGTCATGACAGATCGACCCTTTAATGATAAACAGATGGACATGTCCTCTGTGCTCCCCAGAAGGGAGCAGACCACGGGACCCTGACTTCCTCTGCTGGCCGCTAACAAAGAACACAGCTCAGGTCAAGCAAATAAACAGGTTGCTGGGCGCACACACCTCCCAACTGCAGGTTTACCATTTGTTTTACCGTAAATGGTCGGCTCGAACAAATGTTTTACCAACCTTATGAAAGTCTGAACCAAAACTATAAGACATTAGGGGATTTCAGTTTTGAAAAAAGCTCCTGAAGTGATAACAGACATTGATTTAATGTCTAATAATAATAATACAAAAGATAAGATGACAGTAAAACCTTTAACAGTAACTGTAATTAAAATGTATTTTCTAAATAGGCTTATAATTTTTATATATTATTGTTTTTATTAAAAGCAAAAACAATAAAAGTACTGGAGAATTTTTTAACTGTGTGTTGATAATTTACAGTTGCTTCTGAAAGTATTCTAAAATGTAATTATCCTTTCATTATTATTATTGTTATCATTAACAGTGTGACAGAATATGATTACATTTCAATACATTTGCAAATAATTTCAAAAATGCATCTCTTTGTCATTATGAGCTATAATTAATGGGCAATAAAGGAAATTGAATCCATTTTGAACAAAATCATACACGGAAAAAAGTGTGAAAAACTGGTCTACTCTCTCCGGCCACAATATATTTATTCAGTTTATTCCAATAATACGATATTACAGCTTGCAACATTTATTAGAAATTTAAGGGAAAATGGAAATATTGATCTAATGTGTTGTATTCCA